AATCTAGTAGGTGAAAAATATCTCAAACTTGTTTTAATTTGCATCTCTAATCGATAATGATTTATAGCATTTTTTCATATGACTATAAATTGTTTTGACTTCTTCATTGGAAAACTGCCTGTTCATAACCTTTGTCCATTATCAACTGGAGAATGACTCATATTTTTATAGAGTTTACAGAGTTCTTTATATATTTATGATGATACCTTTATCTGAAAAAAATGTATCTAAAAATTTCTCCTAATTTTTTGCTTTCCTTCTGATTTTGGCTACATTTATTTTATTTGTACAAAACTTTTAATTTCATGGCATCAAAATTATCCATTTTACACCTCACTGTTCTCTGTCTGTTGTTTACTCATAAATTGTTCACCTACCCATAAGTCTTATAAGTAATAGGTTTCATGTTCTGCAAATTTTCTTGAAATATCTCTCTTTATATCTAGGTCATGTATCTATTTTGACCTTCTCTTGGCAAATGATGTAAAATATTCATTTATGCCCAGTTTCTGCCATACTGCTTTCCAGTCTTCCCAACAATTTTTATCAAATAATGAATTCTTATCCCAAAGTCTTTACACTTGACAAATACAAACCTACTATATCTTTTTGTTGCAATGAATTGTATGTCTATTCTGCTCTACTGATCTTTTTATTTCTTAGGCAGTACCAGATATTTTGATAATTACTGCCTTATAATATAGTTTAAGATCTGGTACTGCTAATCCTCCTTCACTTACATTTTTGTCATCAGTTTCTTTGATAGTCTTGACTTTTTGTTCTTCCAAATGAATTTTGTTATTATTTTTTCTAATTCAGTAAAATAATTTTTTTCATAATTTAATTGGGATTGCATTGAATACATTAATTACTTTAGGCCAAATTGTCATTTTATTATATTGGCCATGGCTACATGTGAACAATTAATATTTCTCCAATTATTTAAATCTGATTTTATTTGTATAATAATGTTTTATAGTTCCTGGGTTTCTTTTGGCAGTTTACTTCCAGGTATTTTATCTAGTAATAGTAATTATAACTTTGGATATGAATGGAATGAACTCCTCCATAAAAAGGAAACAGCAGAATGGATTAAAAATAAAACTGCAACAATAAGTTGTTTATAAGAAACACATTTAAGAATGAGAGATATACACAGAATTGAAATGGAGGGTTAGGTAGAATTTATTATGCTTCAGCTGATGCAAAAAAGGCAATGGTAGAAATTATGATCTCAGACAAATTTATGGCTAAAAGTTTTAATTAAAAGTGATGACTAGGATAACTACATTTTGATAAAAGATACCACAGACAATGAAGCATTACCAATATTGAACCTATATGCACCAAATACTATAGCATCTAAATTTTTTTTAAAAAAAGTTAAATGAATTGCAGGTAGAGATAGAGAGTAGCACTGTTAATAGTGGGGGACTTAAATATTCCCTTTCGCAGAACTAGATAAATTTATCAAAAAAAAAAAGCAATCAAGGAAGTGAATAGAATTTTAGATAAGCTAGATATGATAGATATCTGGAGAGAATTGAATGGAAATAGAAAGGAATACACCTTTTTCTCAGCAGTTCATGGTACCTTTACAAAGATTGACCATATATTAGGACATAAAAATTTTATAGTTAAAAGTAGAAAAGCAGAAAGATTAAAAGTATGCCTTCTAGATCACAGTGCAATAAAAATTATCTTTAATAATGGAATGCAGAAGCATAGATTAAAAACTAATTGGAGATTAAACAACCTAATCTTAAATAATGAGTGGATCAAAGAACAAATCATAAAAAGAATCAATAATTTCAGTAAAGTGAATGACACTAATCAGACAACATACCAAAACAAAAAAAGCAAAAGTAGTAATCAGAAGAAATTTTATATCCCTGAATGCTTACAGCAATAAAATGGAGAAAGAACAGATTAATGAATTGGATATGCCACTAAAAAAAAACTAGAAAAAGAACAAATTAAAAGTTCCCAATTAAATACTAAATTGAAAATCCTAAAAACTAAGGGTTAGATTAATAAAATTGAGTGTAAAAACCCATTGAATTAATAAATAAAAGTAGGAGTTGGTTTTATGAAAGAAAAACACATAAAATAGATAATCCATTAGTCCATTTGATTTTTATTAAAAAGAGAAAAAACCAAATCATTATTACTAAAAATGAAAAGTTTGAATATAACACAAAGATGAAATTAAAACAATTATAAGGAGTTATTTTGGCCAATTATGTGCCAATATATTTAACAATTTAAGTGAAATGGAATAATATTTACAAAAATATAAATACAAATTGCCTAGATTAGCAGAAGAAGAAATAGAATATCTAAATAGAACTATTTTGGGAAAAAAAATTGAACAAGCCATAAGTAAGCTTTTTAAGAAAAAAGCACCAAGACCAGACAGACTTAAAGGTGAATTCTATCAAACATTGAAAGAGAAACTAATTCCAATATTAAATAAATTATTTGGAATAGTAGTCAAAGAAGGGATCCTACCCAAATGCCTTTAATGAAACAAATATGATAATGTTACCAAAACAAGAAAAAATAAATGTAGAGAAAACTATGGACCAATTTCATTAATGAATATGGTTGTAAAAACCCTAAATGAAATACTAGCTAAAATATTACACTATATTACAAAGAATATACATTATGACCAATTGGGGTTTTTGCCAAGAATGAAGGGATGGTATATAATAAGGAAAACTATTAACACAATTTATTTTATCAATAATAAAAGATTAAAAATCATATGATTATATCAATAGATGCAGAACAGGGTTTTCATAAAGTACAACATTCATTTCTATAAAGAACACTTGAAAGTAAAGGTATAAATGGATTTTTCCTGAAATTGATTAAAAAAAAGCATTTCTCTAAAATCATTAGAAAGCATTATTTCCAATGGGGATAAGCCAGAAGCCTTCCCAGTAAGATCAGATGTGAAACAAGGATGCCCACTGACACTGTTATTCAATATTATATCAGAAATCTTAGCAATAAAAGAAAAAGAAATAGAAGGACTCAGAATAAGGAAGGAGGTAATAAAAGTATCCCTTTTTGCAGATGATATGATGATATAATTGGAAAATCCCAAAGACTCAAAAAGTTAATTGAAACAATTAATAATTTTAGCCAAGTGGCAGGCTATAAAGTGAATCCACACAAATCATTAGCATTCCTTTTTTTTATTGTGCTAAAATATTTTTTTATTTTTAGTTTTCAACATCTACTTCCACAAGATTTTGAGTTCCAAATTTTCACCCCATCTTGCCTAGTATTCCTATAAATCACAAACAAAACCATGCAAGAAGAGATAGTAAGAGATGCCTCATTTAAAATAACTCTAGGCAGGACAACATACCCAATCCTCATTTTATAAGCAAGGCAACTGAGGTTGGGGTCAGTTGGGATTTGCTTAACATGACACGACAGAAGCAGGACCTGAGTCTAAATCTTCTGACATCCAGTGGAGGATTGCCAGGATTCTGCTTCTCTGTGGCCTACAGGACTTCTCTGACTTCTGTCCTGTCCAGAGGGAAGAAGAGGCATGAAGTGAGGTCTGAAAGGCTTTTACGCCTGGGCAGGTTTCCTTCAGAGGCTCAACCAAGCACTTTCCAAAGTCTCCCTCCCTCCTCCACCAAGGGGACCCACATGGGCTGGTGATAAGGCCCTGGGCCTGAAGGAAAGCCATTGCTGGGGAAGGAAGAGCAGGACTGAAAGGTGTGGAGCAAAACCTCAGGCCAAGCCAGGCCAGGACCCAGAGCTTCTCATGGAGACACCACACACAGGGCACTTAGGAAGCCGGGACCTGGATGGAGGTTTCAGCTAGAAAGCTCTGCCAGGGTTCCAGGACCCCAGGACCAGCAGTGTCAATGAGATGAGTGCTTGATGCAGTCTGCATCCTGGAGCTCTGCCTTCCAATCCCAGCACTGACCAGTCCCCACTGCTGCCTCCCTCTGATGGGCAGACTTCTGAGGGTGCTGGTGTCCATGCTAGGACCTGCCCTCTTGACCTGTGTGTGAGTGAGATTGTTGAAACAGATGTCATCCACAGACACAAGGGTCCCATCTTTTCTGATCCAGACCCACCCAAGAAAATAGGAAACTTAAAATGTGTCATTGAGGACACAGTTGTTTCTCCCCCTCTGACAAAGAGGGGGAAAAAAAACCGCTTTTTTTGTGGACTCTGTACCAAAGAGCTTCATGGAGATTCTCCCCAGTGACACATACAACAAAAGGGAAAAGAAAGACAGAAACATAGTTTTTGAACTGGAAAAGGCCCCAGAGATCATTGAGTTCAATCTTCTTATTTTACTGAAGAAACAGAGGCCCAGAGAGGTCTAGTGATTTGTCCAAAGTCACACAGCTAGTCAATAACAGAGCTAACATTTGAACTCAAATCCTTTCCTTCCAGGCCCAGTAACCCGGGATGCCATCACTACAGTAATGCCCTGGAAGCTCCCCACATTTCCATAATCATGCTCCTCCTCCCCCACTGAGCTGCACTGCTCTGTCCCACACAGGTCTCCCACAGCTTTCTGGCCCAGCCTCCTTCTAAAACACTCAGCTGCACAGCCACAGAATGAGGACAAGTCCAAGAACAGCCCAGAAGCCTGGTCTGTGTTATCTGCGGGCAGCCTCAGTGGGAGGGCAGAGGCTGGTGCCTCCATGGGGCCATTGACAGCAGCTGTTACCTTCTTGCCTCCACCCCAAACTTTCAGCCCCCAATCAGCTGCCCTGGCTCCCTGAATATACAAGGTAGTGAAGGGGGAGAATGTCTTGTCTCCATCTCACAGATGTGTCATAGTGTGGAAAACAATTTCGCCAAAGAGGGGCTAAAAGCAGAGCAGCCCCTGAGCAGGAACGCATTCAGAGCTCCATGGTCCTGGGCTGCCCTGACCCCTGCTCTGAAGGCCATATTAACTCCTCCACCCCAGTGTTCTCTGATTCTCTGCTGTTTGTCCCTGGTTCTCCACACAGGCACATTCACAGTATCTGGCCCTCTGTTCCAGCCCATCCGGGCCTGGGTGGGGGAAGACGTCCAGCTCTCCCGTCAACTCTCCCCTAAGATGGATGTTCAGGGAATGATTGTGAAGTGGGTCAGAGGCCCACTGGTTGTGCACTTGTACCGCATGGGCCAGGAGATGGAGGAAGTCCAGGCCCCTGCATTCCAGGGGCGGACAAAGATGCTGAGACAGGACATGGCTGAGGGGAAGGTGACCGTGAGAATCCATCAGGTTCAGCTCTCTGACACTGGCCAGTATGCTTGTTATTTCCAGGAAGGCTCCTTTTACAACGAAACCAGCTTTGACCTTCAGGTAGCAGGTAGGTCCTACATGGGTCATGGATTCTCTCTAGAGCTGGAAGGGACATTCAGACATTGGCATTGGCCCAGATCTTTAAAGTGTGTAACTTTCCATACATTTTTTCCCTGAAGTCTCACAACTACCTTGTGGGTCAGTATTTCTGTCACAGGGACCACCCAGCCCAGCCCCCACCGACTGAAGGCCAGGTCTGTTATCTTTCAGCCCCTCAGGGTCCTCTGGTACCTTTAATGGGGTTGGGGGCATCCAGTCTCTCTGTCATTGGCTCAAGCCCCCTCAATGATGCTTCCCCAATTTTAGAGGCTCTTCTGCACCCTTATTCTATGTAACCACTAAATAGTCGGAACTTGGAGGGACTCTACTATGTAGGAACTGGGTTAAGCTATGAACCTGAACTCCTTTTACCCCACAATCTGCAGAGACTGAGGTGGCCTGTGTGGAGAGGACAATGTCTTTGGGTGTCAGGGAAAGTGTCATTTGTACATTTGTTCTCATGACACTGTACAATTAAATATTACTGCATAAAAGCTATTCTGACTAATTGTATAGTGTACATGGTACCCATGGCCTGGGTATGGGTGGGGTGGGGGATCCCCAACCTGTGCCTAGAAGGAGCCCCTACCCACACCCTGAGCCTGTTTGTAGAGGGACACAGGGCCTGGATTGGGGAGGGAAAGAACATTCTTCCATACCCAGCTCAGTTCATGGTACTTGTGCCCTGTGGGTGAATAGGACACTCACATCCCCTGGACACAGCTGAAAGGAAAGAGAGGGAAAGAGAGGGAGAGAGACAGGAAGACAGAGACAGACAAAGACAGAAAGACTGAGATAGACAGAAATATAGAGACAGACAGAGAGAGGTTGACAGAGACAGACAGAAAGACAGAGACAAAGAATGAGTCCTAGTCTGGTACTTTTCAAGTCACAGCCTGTTCCAGCCAATAGAATGTAGCTAGTCCCACCCAAGTGGTAAGGAAACATAGAACGGCTTCTCGCTGACTCAGGCTACTGGAATCTCCCACATGGGTCCCTCCATGTCAGGTCAGCAGGTCAATCACAAAGCAAAGCCCCCTTCCCCTTCTCCCTCCATTTCAAATATTCGCATCCTTATCCCACAGGCAGGGAAGCATTTGGAACCCAGTTCTCGTCCCCAGTTCAGACCAATCCTCTCTGGTCTCTGGGCAGCCATGAGGGACGTCCTTTCATCTGCTTCCGCAGGGCCCTACAGGAAGGAATCTCAGAACCATCAATGGTGCAGGGTCATACACATTCCCACAGACTCAGAAGACAATCAACATCATCCCTAAATACAAAGTTCTGTAGATCCAATAAACCCAGGAACATTTTACAATGATTACAAACCATTGTTGCCTGTTTAGACTCAGCCTTTCAGGACTTTTCTTAATCCATTTTTTCTCGAGCAAAAGAAAGAGCAAAGACAAAGAAAGCTGGATGCCCGTCTTTGATGGAAGCCCAGGTCCCTCTGAGCTTTCTGAACCACATGGAGCTCTCCCCACAGGGAGATCACTCAGGCCTGGGGTTTCCCACTGACAGATTGGGGGCATGTCTCTGGCCTGGACTCTGAGAACTGGGATAAAAGCCCTGTACTGACACCCAAGTTCATGGACTGAGGAGGGTATGGAGTTCCTAAGGACTTCTCTCAAGTCTTCCGCCCACAAATCTTCACTAAATGTCTCCTGTGTGACCAGCCCAGTGCCGTTGGGAAGACAAAAGAAGGCCCCAGGAATTTTGCTCCTAAGGAATTTATAGTCTATGAGGGAATGAGGGGAGAGGCACAAGGTAATATACAAAGGTGGCAGCTAGGTGGTACAGCAGATAGAGCACCAGCCCTTGAGTAGGGAGGGCCTAAGTTCAAATCTGATCTGTGGGACCTTGGGCTTGTCACAACTCCAATTGCCTAAAAAAAAGACACATATTAAACAAAATATTTTATAACGAGCTTCTCAATAATTATTCAGACCATAATTAATTCAAGTTAAAGACCAGGAGGTAGGAAAACCTGAATTCTCATCCAGACTCAGACACTTACTAGTTATGTGACCTGAGGCAAGTCACAAGACTTAACCTCTGCCTCTGTTTCCTCATCTGTAAAATTAAGAGCTTTTACTCCCCAGGGTTGTCGTGGGGATCAAATGCAACAGATTTGTAAAATGGATGACACACACATAAATCACCATCTTGTTGATGTTGTTTTGTTCTGCCAGTCCCGTCCAACTCTCTGTGACCACATTCGGGGTGTTCTTGGCAGGGATTCTGTGAGTAGTTTGCCAGTTTCTTCTCCAGCTCATTTGGCAGGTGAGGAAACTGAGGTAAAGAAAGGCTAATTGACTTGTCCAGGCTCACACAGCAAGGAAGTGTCTGAGGCAGAATCTGAACTCAGGTTTTCCTGACTCCAGACCTAGTGCTCTATCTACTGAGTCACCTACCTATCCAAAAAGCACTATACATATGTGAGGTGTTATTGCTTTTGTTGCTATTGTTATTTAGTAACCACTTACTGTTTCCATGGCCCTGTGCTTAGTGCTGTGGGAGATACAATGTTTACATTGAACCAGGACCCCGACCTGAAGGAACTTCATTTACAGTAAGGAGGGAAGATGCACAAATTAGTATAATAAACAATAACATATGCTAAGTGGATTAGCAAGATGCAAAATTAAATGGTATTCAATTAAATTTAGCCAACATTAAACACATACTTTATATGACCCTCTGTCCTAGACAATATTTAACACTGAGTCTTGTTACAGAGGAGGGGACTAGGAAAGGCTTTCTATGGGCTATAGAGGATGGGGAGCAGGTAAATAGAAAGAGAAAGAAGGAAGGCATCCCACTAACCAGAAACAGAATCATCACTATCATCATCATCATCTTCTTCATCTCTAGAATTTCTGGACAGATTAAATGTTGAAAAAGTGCTTTATAAATAAGCAATCAATCAATAATATTTAGTAAGTACCTACTATGTGCCAGGCACAGGGGGTACAAAAGAGTTTGTGAAAGGCAGTCCCTGCTTACAATCTAATGGGGGAGAGAACATGCTAACAAATATACACAAAGCCCAGTACGTACAGGACAAATAAGAAATAAATAAAAGGTGAAAGCACTGGAATTAAGAGGGGTTAGCTAAGGCTTTCTGTACAGAGTGTGGTTTCTGTTGGGACTTGAAGGAAGCCAAGGAGGTCAATAGTCAAAGAGGAGAAAGGAGAACATTCCAGGCTCGGGGAGCAGCCAGAGAGAATGCCCAGAGCTGAGACATTGAACGTTTTGTTGGTGGCCAGGAGGCCACGTCACAGCCTTGAAGAGTATGTGCTGGGGAGAAAGATGTAAGAAGATCAGAGTGGTGGGAGGGGTCTGGATCATGGAAGGCTTTGAATTCAGAACAGGGAGTTTTGAATCTGCTCTCTGAGGTAATAGGGAGCCACTAGTGTTTATGGAGTAGCAGAGGGATATGATCAGACTAGGACTTTAGGAAAATCCCTTTACTGGCTGGTTGAGGATGGATTGGAGTGGGGAGAGACTTGAGGCAGGCAGACCCACCAGCAGGCTATTGCAATAATCAAGGCACGAGGTGAGGCCAGACTGCACTAGAGTAGCGGCCAAGTGAGAGGAGACAAGGGGCTTCTAAGAGAGATGTTTCAAAGGTGAAATTGAGAGGCCTTGTCAAGGGATTGGATGTGGGGGATGAGAGATAGTGAGGAATACAGGATGACTGCTAGGTTGTGAGGCTAAGGGGCTGGGAGGATGGTGTTGTCTTCTACAGTCATATTGAAGGTAGCACATGGGGAGCACATAGGGGGGGAAAATGAGTCCTGTTTTGTACATATTGAGTTTAAGAAGTCTACTGGATATCTAGAATGAGATATCTGAAAACAGTTGGAGATCTAACATTGGAGGTCAGCAGACAGACTGGGGCAGGTAATGTGGAGTTGAGAATCATCAGCAGAGGGATAGTAATGAAATCCCTGGGAGCTGATGAGATAACCAAATGAAGTCCTATAGAGGGAGAAGAGAAGAGCCCTGGGGACAGAAGTCTCAGAGACACCTCCAGTTAGAGGGCAGGATCTGTGTGAGGATACAGTAAAGGAGACAGAGAAGGAGCAGTCAGCTAGGTAAGAGGAACACCAGGGCAGAGAGGATATCCTGAAAACCTAGAGGGACCAGAGTCTAGGTGGAGAGAGTGATCAGCAATGGCAAAGGCTACAGAGACAACAAGGAAAAGGAGGATTGAGAAAAGGCTATTGGATTTGGCAGCTAAGTGACCATTAGTAACTTTGGAGAGAGCAGTGTCAGTGGAATGAGGCCAGAAGCCAGACTGTAAGGGGTTAATAAGAAAGGGTGAGGAGAGGAGAAGGCAGCACCTGTTGTAGAAGGCCTTTTGGAGGAGCTGAGCTACAAAGGGCAGGAGAGATATAAAGAGTTAGACACTAATTTATCCACATCTTACAGATAAGGAAACTGAGGCAGACACAGATTCAATGCCTTGCCCAGGTTAAACAGCTGCTAAGTGTCTGAGATCAGGTTCAAACTCAAGTCTTCCTGACTCTAGGACCAGAGCTCTCCCACTGCATCACCTAGTGGCTGCGCGAGCAAAGGCATATTAGCTGAGCAGAGCTTGAGGTGAGCTAGACTTGAGGTGTCCAGTCTAGCCAGAGTCCAGAGTCCTAGGAGTGGAATAAAGTGCAATAGATGGGAAGGGTAGGATGGCATCAAATTGTAGAGGGCTTTGAATGCCAGGAGGAGGAGCCTGAGCTTCACCCAGAAGGAAGTAGAAAACCACTAAAGATGTATGAAGAAAGGAGTGGTGTGGTCACTTCTAGATATAAATAATATTAGCCTAGAGCCCAGGCCAAGTGGGAAAGGAGATTGCAGGTGGGGATCTAGAGTCAAGAACACATGTATGTCAGTCTATCAGTCAACAAGCATTCATTAGTCTTAAGGCATCTTGGTGGCAGAGCAGATACTCAGAAGTGGAGCTGG